TTAATTCGCTGCACATCCTCACTAACCTTTCGTGTTCTTGTTTCGGGAGCTTATAGATCCAGTCGGGAGTAACTAGCCGGAGGTTTCTTGGTTGTGACATCCCGACTGCTTGGGTAAGTGATCTTATCCTTTGCGCTATTTGGTAGGTTCGCGGTCCGTTTTGATGAGAGTGGCCTTGCAATTCTCGCTTTATTGACACAGCTGTCCGGCCTTCCTGGGAGATCCGGATATAGTCCCCGAGCTTTCTGTAAGCGTTCACTCGCTGCCCACTCGAGTTAGCTGGGTCTGTCGCTACAGAGAGTAGTCCTGCCATATCATGATCGAGTATGGCTTCCGTTAGATCATGCGTTTCCTCTGGCGCGGTCATCACGTCCAAAGCATACGGGAGCAATGTGTCGTTCTCTTGCGGTGTTCCTTCGCTACTCTCGGGTCCTACCAGGTCTATCCCACATCCTTCCACTACCAGATATGCCCCTGTATTATCTATAATAAGCTGTGCTTCTCTGGAAATTTCGCATAACTCTTTGCGCAGTCTGTTTACTCGTTCTTGAAAACCTTCGGGAATTTGTAGGTTAAACATATTGAGTGTCTTGGTAACGTCGGGACTTTCTGCTTCATTCATTCTATAGTTCAGGAGTCCTCATGCACAGTTATTGTCCTCTGTCATCTCACGTGAGATGAAGCCCCTTTGTTTGTAGGACTTCAGGCAATTTCCGTGTACAGGTCAATTGTTACGTATTTCTCCTCTTGTGGTTCGCAATATGTATGATCCGTTACCTAAAACACGGTGAATAAATTGAGGCCCTGTCCATCTGTTTTGGAACTTATCGCCATGTACGTTTTGTAGGTCCGAGCGATATTCCAGTACTATATCGCTGATTTTGTACGTCATTACTTTAACCCTCCTATCGTGGGCTCTCTTCTGTCTTGCTTGGGCGTCTTTTATGTTTCCGGTGGCCTTAATTTTATTGTCTGCAAATGCTCCTATGATTTCGCTGATTCTTCTATTTATCATGTCCTCGTACTGATTTTCGTCAATCTCCATAGCTGGCCAAGTCACGACGTCAAGTTCTATGGGTAAGGTAGGGGGGCGGCTGTAAAGTAAGTAAAAGGGTTTATGTTTTGTCATTCTGTTCTTGATGGTTCGATACGTGAAAAGTGCTGGGGGTATCAACACATCCTAATCATATGCTGTTTCTTCTACACACTTCATCACGGCTCTGCACAATGTCTGATTGAACCGCTCCGTTAGTCCGTTGCTTTGTAAGTGGTATGCGGATGTGAGTCTATGTTGTGATCCCATTATATCCACCAAGTTAGCTACTACCTGGCTGATGAATACTGTTCCTCTATCGAACAGTATTTCTCGCGGACATCCATGACGGCATATAATCTCGTCGTATAGGAACCATGCGACTGTTACCGCATCCGCT